GGTTTGGTGGTAGAACATAACTAGGACAGTACAAGTCAATAAGCATTAAGTCCAAGGTCCACCCTCGGTTCTTTACTTGCTCTCAATTTGGTCCGTTAATCATGAATAAATCATCAGGTCCCAGATGACCTTCTTGATTAGAGTGATAAAACAGCTACTAACCCTCCTTTGTGTTTCTTAGAATTGGTGTATTTTTGTGTGGTCTAAGTTCATTATATAAGGATTGTAGTTAGTCAAAATCGTTATAAAAAATTGGACTCTTCCCATTTTACTTACGTGTGAATCTTTTCTTCTTCTCAAAAGAAAAATCCCCAATCATCCTATTTAGTTCACTTTTAATATTTTTTATAAAAATTTTTATTAAAAAATAAAATTAGTTTGACAAAAATAAATATCAAAATGATATTTTTGGATATTTTAAATTTTTGTGTGAAAATAATGACCATTTTTTTAGTTTTTTTAAAAAATTTGTTAAAAATAGATTTTTAAAACCAAACCAAACAAAATAAACAGCGACCAAATTTCCAAAATGTCAAGATTCTAAAATTTAGTAGCATTTTATAACCCTAACATTATTGGAAGTATCTAATTCATGCATAGGCTAGAACACTTGGTGTACTCTTTCTAATTTTTGGAGGCAATGAGAGTGTTATGTCAAACTTGATAGGAAGTTTAATGGCTAAAGAAAAAATAAATAAATAAAATTAACAAGAGCAAAAACATCATTAAAATGTTGGGGAGCTTACGTGTGGGTCCTGTAGGACAATCTTCACTGTATTTAAAAAGATTTAATTCTGTTGTGTACAAAACAACAACAAGAATAAAAGAAATAGAGAAAATGAGAGAATATGTTTGATTACAAAAATCAAACTCGAAATAAAAATAAATAAATAAAAACAGATTTTATTTTGTTACAAAAACAAAATTAAAATCTGAATAAATAAACAAATAAAAACAACACTGAAAGTAATTAAATAACTTACTTGATTTAATTTCTTCGAATTATTTTTCTGATCAAGTCCAGTGTTTAACACTGTGTCCTTAAGACAGATTCGTCATCTCCACGGTGCTTTCAGAATTCGGACGTCTATCTCCCAGGATGAAATGATCTACCACAAACAATAGCAGCACTACTAATCATGCTGCTGGGAACCTTCCCCTTCTTCTCGGTTGAACCGCAGGTACCACTTTTCTCCCTGACTATGGTCGCAGCTTTCCCTATTCTCCAACAGGGTGACAGACTAGGTTGGTTCAGTATCTAGAATTGAGGCGCATACACATGCTATCTCAATCTATGGGGCTGCCATACAGAGTTCAAGCCGAGGTAATTTTGAAGCAATCTCTACACCCCTGGGTATTAGAGTGAGAGCTGTGAGTTGAGTGAGTTTTATCTCCTCCTCTGTATTTGTATTTTTGCTCCATTTTAGTGATAATTCTCATTTCTGTCCGTGGATGTAGGCATTGGGCCGAACCACGTAAATATTGTGTTCTCTGTGTGTGTGAGATAATTCTCTGGGTGTCTTTGATCCTAACACTTGAAACCCTCGATCCAAGAGGAGGAAAAAGAAAAAGAAGAAGAAAGAAAATGAGGAGAATGAGGAAGATATATAAGAAAGGAAGAAGGCCGGGAGGGGTAGAAAAAGCGTCGATGAAGAAGGGAGGGAGGTGGTTGGAGAGGGGTGACGGAGTTGAGAAGGGAGTAGGGGTTAGGGTGGGCAATGCATGGGAAATCCGGATCCTCGGTCGCGTTTTCTTGTAGCGCCTCCTGCGGCGCCCCAAAACGACGTCGTTTTGGGGCCAAATTTCAATAATAAAAAAAAAACACAGAACTGAGACAACAGTTCATGGTTCTATCTTCCCCAACAGCTTCATCTTCCCCAACAGCTCCGACGACCCCCTTAACCCTCCCCCTCCGGCGATCCTCCCCCAGCCACATCACCCCCTCCTTGCTTTTCTTCTTCCTCCTTTCTTTCTTCTTCTAAAAAAAAAAAAAAAACAGAGGGAGAGGGAACTGAGAGAAAATGGAGATGGGTTTGGTGGGTTTTGGATGGAAAGGAAGAAATTGAAGCCGAACTGAACCAGAAAGCAAGGTTGTGAAAGCGGATGAAGAGGAATTTCAATTTCTGAAAGCAAGGTTGTGAGTTTTGGTGCTGTTTCTCTGTCACGCATGTCTCAAAAAAAAAAAAAACAACAAAAACAAAAACAACAGCATACAAACATCAACTATTTTCTTCACCTCTCCTCTCCTCTTTTTCTTCTTCATTTTCTTCACCAATCTATTTTTTTTTCCCCAAAACGTTCTGAAAATTCAACAAAACACCTATCAATTTCTAAGTGGTCCATGGAAAAAACGGTGTCATGAATGAAACAGAGAGAAATGCAAACATCAACTTTAGTATTTTAAGGACCCAAAAAAGAAATCTTTTTTTCCCACAAAAAAACCAGTGGAAAACTAAAAATTGGGCAAAAATTAAATCAAGTTAATGAAAAACAAAGGAAACAGAAATTGGAGAGCAGAACAGGGTAAGGAATCAAAGTTTTAGACATAAGACAAAGAAATGAGCCATCTTTACGGATTCAAACATACACTTTAGAAATTAGCAGTGGAAATGAGAAACAGAGCAAGTTGGAAGAAGAAAGATCAACAAAACCCCAGATGCATGGCACAATAATCAAATTAAAAATGTAAAACCCACGTCCAATATGAAGCGATCCTTCTCCTCTCCTCTCCTCTTCTTCTTCTTCCTCCTCCTCTCTTTCTCGGCCTTCCTTCTTCTCTTCTCTTCTGTCTCAGATCAGTTCTGCGTTTTTTTTTTATTGAAATTTGGCCCCAAAACGACGTCGTTTTGGGGCGCCGCAGGAGGCGCTACAGGAAAACGCGACCGAGGATCCGGATTCAATGCATGGGAGGGAGGGGTTTGAGACAGCAGCGGACGGAGGGGGTGGCAAGGGAGGGCCACTGCCCCTGTAAACAATTTCAAAAATTTAATTGATGTTATGTATTTACCCCCTAGTTTATAATTTATGGAAAGTTGGCCCCTGCAAGTTTTTTTTTTCATAGCCTCAATTTGTTTACAATCTTTAATTAAGGTTATCCTACAATATATATGTAAATATAAGATGTAAATTATGATCTAAATTGGATGTTTGTTAGAAATTATAGTGTTGGTGAGACTAACTAATTATCAAATCAAATATATCTTAAAGTAGTATTAGTTACAATTCATTATGATTTTTAGTTACCACTGAAGTAGTCTTCAATTATGGCTCAAATGACTACTAGTTATGACCCTACATGTCTATGATAAATGTACAAATAGTATTTGTGTATTATCATTTTTTTTCATCTTTTTTATTTTGTACACGAGTAAAAAGTACTTTTTTTTTTGATCGAGAAAAGCATCAACCACAGAGAATTGAGCTAAAGGCACCCAACAAGAGCCATAGGAGGCTGGGACACCCAATGAAGAGGCAAATAATCATGCAGACAAGCAGTAGCCACCCAATGTGCAGCTCTGTTTCGAACTCTGGGGGGACCATTTGAACGCCAAACCCCCACTATGGGCTAGTGATCTAATGTCTTGTATCACAGCACAAATTTCCCACAGAGGGACCCCTTCTGAAACACAAAGTTGAATGACAGTTTGGCTATCACTCTCAATCTCCACTGCAGCACATTGAAGAGCACGGGCCATGGCGCAAGCAAGACGAACTACAATTGCTTCTCCTTGTACTACTGTTGTCAACCGAATTTTTGTAGCAATGCCATCCAGCAGATTGCCCTTCTCATCGCGAAGAAGCACTGTAACAGCCCCCCTCCCTCTGCTCAGATCAGTTGCCGCATCACAGTTAATTTTCCAGATCCCTCTTGGAGGAGGAACCCACTGAGGCCCTGAATACTGTGCCCCGGCTGTTGTTTCCACAAAGGCAAAGTCCACCTCACAAGCTGCCAAGGAAATCGCTTCCTCCCGTTAAGCCTTGGCAATCAGCTCAATAGGATCCACATGGCAGTGATTAAAGAGATGCTCATTTCTTGCCTTCCAAATACTCCAGGCCACCCAAATCATGGAGCAGAGCACAGATCGACCCTCAGTAGCAGTGCCTAAGGATGCAAAAGCTTGCCAAACCAAGACCGAATCGTTCCCGTATCAAGCTCATCACATCTGAAGCCCAATCCATTGCCAAACCAAACTCTCTTAGCCCACTCACATCCGAAGAAAAGATGTTCTACAGATTCCACCGCTGTTAGACAGATAGGGCAACCGGCAGAATTGGCACACCGTTTACGCCATAAATTTTGCTTTGTTGCCAATGCGTTGTGACACATCCTCTATACAAAGTGTTTAAGTTTGGGAGGCAAATTCAAATTCCAAGAAATCTTCCACTCTTTTGCAGACTAGTCTACTGAAGATCCAGGTAAAATTTTCCATGCATACATTTGCTTCACTGCCTCTTAGTACCCCGATTTCACTGAGTAGCAACCCTTGGAATCATGGTGCCACACCAAAGTGTCATGTCCTTCCAGCAACGCAATGAGTATGGAAAGGATGACATCATAGCCTGTGTCAGAAACCAGATTTTGAAGTTTTACCTCATTCCACGACTGTCGGGCTGGCTCAATTACCTCGCTAACCTTCCGCACCACTAACCCAGTATTCTTGGCCATCAGAACTTTAAACCCCGGATTGGACGGGATCCAACGATCCTCCCAAAAATTAATTGATCACCCATTTAAAACTTGTCACCAAAGCCCTCCATGAAGAACTTTTCTACCTTGCAGCAGACTTGTCCATGCCCATGAGGGTCGTGATCCCCTAGTTGCATGACAAAAATCCGAGTTGGGGTAGTAGATTCCTTTCATAATTTGACCAAATAGTGAGTTCGGATATTTTAGTAATCTCCATCCTTGGCGGGCAAGGAGAGCTCTGTTACTGTTAAAAGCCCAAAAGTCTTGAAATCCCAAACCACCGTTGCTCTTGGTCAAACATAACCGACTCCAGCTAGACCAATGAATGCGGATCACTCTTCCACCAGAAATTTCGAATGTAGGAGCTTAACTTATCACACAGCTTATTAGGAAAAATGAAACATGCCATTGCATAGGTAGGCAGCGCCTGGGCCACAGCTTTAATAAGAATTTCCCAACCCGCATGGGAGAGTAATTTAGCCTTCCAACCTTGTAACTTAGATAAAACTTTTTCGCACAAAAAATCGAAAGCTTCTGCCTTGGAGCGGCCCCAACAAGAAGGAAGCCCCAAATATCTCACGTTGGCCTTCATTTTTGGAATCCGTAAGAGCCCACATATCTCCTGTTGTCGAGAGGAAGAAATATTGCCAGAGAAATGTACCCCGGCCTTGTCAAAATTCACCGATTGCCCCGACGCATCCCCGTATAATTGCAACAATCTACCGACCTCTTGACACTCTGCAGCTGTGGCCTTGAAAAATAGCACAGCGTCGTCTGCAAAAAACAGATACGAGGGAATGGGACACCCCTTCCGAATCCGCAAGCCAGAAATTCTCCCTTCTCTCACGCTTCGAGCAATCAATCTTGAGAATACATCCATTACTAGAATAAACAGATAGGGAGATAATGGATCCCCCTGCCGTAACCCCCCAGCCGGTTGAAAACGTGTTCGTTCGGCCCCATTGACTACTACTGCAAAAGATACTGTAGTAACACATTCCATTACCCATTGGACCCATTTAGAATGAAACCCCATTTTGATCAACAAAGCTCACAAAAAGCCCTAATGAATCCGATCATATGCTTTGTGGAAATCAACCTTGAGTGCCAGGTCCTCCGCCTTACCTTTCCGAAGTTTCTATGCATGAAACGCCTCATGGGCTACAATTATATTATCCTGTATCAGCCGTCCCGACACAAAGGCCAACTGGTTAGGCGTAATTACCTTCCTCAAAATTCCTTTTAATCTGTTAGCAAGAATCTTAGTGATGACTTTCAAGTTAAAATTGCAGAGGCTGATTGGACGAAACTGCGATAACGTTTCCGGAGCCTGAACTTTAGGAATAAGGACCAAATTAGTGTGATTGAGTTCCTTCAGCAAATGGCTACTTCGGAAAAAGCTTTTCACTGCTCGATACACAGATTGCCCTACAATATTCCAGTGTTGATGATAAAAAAAAAGTACTTTATAAACCAATTTTGATACTTTTTGTTTTGTAAGTGCCTATTAGATATTGATTAAAATTTTTATTGCAAATCTAATGACAATGTTCAATTTTTATACTTACAAAGTGAATATTTTAGTAGAATATACGTGTATGAATGTTCAATTAAAATGTTAAAAAAAAAATGTCTAGGTAATTCTTAAATGTATAGAGTTTGGCTCCCTCTTCATGAGATTTTTGCATCTGCCATTGTTTGGAACGGTGGTAATGGTTGGTAGTGGTGACTGTTGGTGTGTACTGTGGGAATTAGATTTTAGAATTTTGTTCAAAAAGATACTTTGCTTGAAGAGCAAAATTATAATTAAAAAGAATGAAAACAATATGAATAGAGAGAAGTTGAAATGTGCAAATAGAAACTGTCAAAATAAGTCATCTCCTTAGTTTTTTTTTTAAAAAAAAAAGTCGTCTCATCTCTCCATGAGACAATAAACAATATGCATACATTGAATAAAAAAATCTCTCAAAATTAGTTATCATGTACGAATTTTACACTATATGAAGTTATTTTATTCTTATATTACTTTGTTCAGTGTCGTCCCTTTATTCTTGAATTAAAAAATGACTTTACATCACCATCTCATTAAAGGTTTAAAAAGAAAAATTAAATATTTTGTTTGATGACATTAACAAGTTGGTAGTGAGTTGCATCCACCATAAACATATGTAGCCTACAAAAAAAGAGAGGTTGGTTACATATTCATTATGTATACAATATATAGAGAGATATGATATGCACAACAAAGTGAATAATGCTTTCCTATTACTAGGAATAAAGAATTAGCTAAAAGAGATATGAAGAAAGTGCCTTTTCCATGCAAAGAATATATATGTTCGGCTTGACAAGGTCTTGTATTTGTAAATTTGCAAAAAAAACCAAAAAAAAGTTCTTGTATTGAGTCAAATCAATCATTTGTTATGCTTTCACTAGTTGCCAAAAGTTGACTTTCTATTTTCCCTGACTAAATATTTTAGTCGCAGGTTTTGTCGCGAATACATGGTCGCCGAAGGTATTGGCGACTAAAAAAGTTTTAGTCGGCAAAAACAGGTCTTTAGCGACCAAAGCTTTTGTCGCCAATAGTCAATTACATTTTTGAAAATTATACATTTAGCGACTAATCTTTTAGTCGCCAATAGTGAATTATTATTTTTATTATTTATACATTTGCCGACTATTTTTTTCGTCGCCAATAGTCAAGCTTTTGGCGACCACACATTTTAGTCGCCAAAAGCATATTTCAGAAGAAAAAAAATAAAAAAAAATTACCCTCTGCTGTTCCCAAGTTTCAAACCACCAACCTCTCACATTCTAAACCTTTAGCACCACACTCTCCCCACTATGCCACTACAACATCACATGAATATAAATGCAACATATATTATTTATATAGTATATTGACCGGTATTAATACAAAACTATATATATAAAAATAATTATTTTTATTTAATATAATTTATGTAAAAAATAAATTATTTACTAAAAAAAATTGAGGCCACTTTTGGGCGACTAAATCCATTATTTAGTCGCCAATTCTATAATTTTGGGCTACTAATTATTTTTCAGTCGCTAAAAAAATAAGTTCCGCCTAAAAATAACCAGTTTTGGCGACTAAACCTGTTTTTAGTCGCCAAAAACGTCCCCTTTTGGCTACTAAACTGAATTTTAGTCGACAATGGACTGTTTTTAGCTACTAATTTTTTTTAGTGGCCAAAAAGCTTCACTTTCAGCGACAAAACTATTTTTAGTCGGCAAAACACCAACAATCGGCGACTAATCTGTTTTTTAGTCGCCAAAACCATCACTTTTGGCTACTAAATTATTTTAGTCGCCTAGTTGCATTTTGCATGTGTTGCATTAG